TATCGTTAGCACCGTTGGTATAAAATGTCTGTCGTTAGAGATTTTTCTAAATCTGCGATTGCAAATTCAGTTCTCTTTCACGTCTTATTGCGCTTGAATAGTCGAATACACACACAATTATGTCAAAATGGCCATCATGTGGAGTATTTAAAACAGCCGGTGATGTCTCAAATGAAAGTAAACAGTAAACTTAACTATCTGCTTAACTGTTATAGTATGATGCATCATTGATGAAATCAACTACGAAACCGTATTCTCGCAAATTTGTCATTCAACCACATTGATAAATGATGTCACACAGGTGGTGGAGTAATAAACTATTTTAATTAATTTAATTAATGCCATATTTTTTTGCTAAAATTACGGACATGGCATCTGAGGACTAATTCTCATATTTCTCGGTTATTTTACTTTATTTCCAGATTCAATCATAGGCTCGTTCTTACGTATGGCACATGCACACTCTTCAAAAACACAGCTTAAATCTCTTGACAAACTAAAAGACTTAAAGGGATTGTTCACCCAAAAATGAAAATTCTGTCATTAATTACTCACCCTTATGTAGTCCATCAAATGAACTCAAATGAAGATCTTTTTCATGAAATCTGAGCGCTTTCTGTCCCTCCATTGACAGCTACGTAGTCTCAACCTCAGGCGTCACGCCCACGGAACGTTGGCTAAACGTCTGATGCATATGGTACACTTAACTGGAAACACTTCAGGAATGTCGAAGTCGTCATCTGATTGGTTGAATTTTATCAGATTTCCGGGGGGCGCGAGTGTCGCGTTTATTTTCGGTCCGCCGGGAAACAAAGCGCAGACCGGCGCAGACGTGTGATTGCGGAAAAAAAACTGTTGTGTTTACATGAGTGACAAAGAGCATTTATCAAGATCAGCTAAACGTAGGATTCTCAAAAATATGCGAGGTTCACGGCATAGACTCTTTAAGAGATGTCCAGGAGTTTTGTTTGAGGCACTTAGTGGAGACAAAAAGAGATATTTTAGCCTGTTTGCCGACGGGATTTGGGAAGAGTATTATTTTCCAAGCCTGGCCGACCCTTTGTCAGCATTTATAAGGATTCCCAGCAGATCCAATTTTAGTTGTGTGTCCCCTCCTATCTATTATGGAAGATCAAGTGAAGTACCTAACCGCGAAGGGGATATCAGCCGCGTTTGCGGGCAAACATGAAACAACAGACGCTGACATCGCAGCTGGCCGATTCAGTATTGTGTTCGGTTCTCCAGAATTGCTTGTGGGTGTTAAACAGTGGAGAGATATGCTTCAAACAGATGTTTACCGCGAGCGTCTCATCGGGATGGCTGTTGATGAAGTGCACACCATTGTTGTTATACGTGCACGAACAGATCAATGACTTACTGCTTGTTTTCTTCTCCTTCTTTGATTTTCTATGCTGACTGACTTGTTGCACGCCGGTCTGTTGTTGTGGGGACATTTGCACGCCCCGAAATGTGACGCTGAACGAAACGAACTGTAATTGGTTGTTTGACATGTCGGTCAAACGGCCTAATGGGCGGGCCTTGGCCAAAGAAAGCTGCTATGAATTCCAGACCTTCAGCCGTCAGTCTGAAGGTCTGGCTACGCGAGACTAACAGCTACGCAACTACCACTTTGACGCTTCAAAAAGTTCATAAAGAGATCGTAAAACTAATCCATATGAATTGAGAGGTTTATTCCAAATTTTCTGAAGGGACTCGATCGCTTTATATGATGAACAGATTAAATTTAGGCTTTTACTCACACTCACATCAGTTGTGGTAAACAGAAGCTCAAGCATGTTCGCTTGATGTGCGAGAACCAATGAGGTTCGTTCTCGTGTTACGCATCACGTTTGAGCTTCAGCAAGAGGTTTGTTGAGGCTCTGTTTATGTTTGCTGATCAATGTTGAAACGTGAATAAAAGCCTAAATGTAATCTGTTCATCATATAAAGCGATTGAGTCTCTTCAGAAAATTTGGACTAAACCGCTGGAAATGCACTGATCGATTTTTGAAGGCAGCATCGGTGTGTCCTTCGCTGCCTATATCCCACAATCCCGTGTGTCTCATTCCGTGACAGTTGAGCTAAAAAATAAAAATGGCGCTTGAAAGTTGCAAGGGGTGGTCAAGTGTGTAAATGTAAATTTTTTGACCAACCTTTTCTAATTTTGATGCCATTTCTAGGGAGAAATTAGTATTGTGGTAAGTAAATATTCACTTAGCTAACACTAAAGCTCGGTCTATTTTGTTGTAGATCATTAAACCGTTATGCTGGCTCAGAAGTCTGTCTGAAATCTGTTTTGTGAAGTACCTTCGAGCGCAAACACTGCCTGCAAAGTCATTGCCTGACAGGCCTAAGCTTTCAAACGCAGCCAGTGTGTTTTTATGTGCAGATGCATTAATCAAAAACAGTTCCACTGTTATTGCTGGTGCTTTTTTCAGTACCGGTAATTTAGTCTGGATCTTAAAAAAATTAAGCACTTTGAGCTGCTGTTGCACCAGGGTCTGGCAGAAATGAATAGCCTTTGTGGCGGCCCGAAGGTCTGGCCATTATGATGGTGATAAGTACACTTGTTGAGTTCCCAGTCCACTGTGACCGACGGAGTCGGCAATACAGCAAAAACCCAGCTGTAGTTACAATTGTGGTGTTTTATCAAAGGAAAGGTTAAAGATGTCGGCCAGAGAAAAGCTCAGAAGGTTAGCCGGACAAGATAGTTCACTAATGGACGAGGACACGGCGAGATGTTTCTATTGCCCACATTTACAGTTATTACATGTCCCAGCTGCTGTAATGACACACGCACATATGAAGCAAAATTAAATGAGTCAGCCATGCATAATGCAGTTTTAATGGTTTTATTTTAGACATTTCAGAAAGGAAATCATGGGGTAGGGAAATTAAATGTGTGAAGTGCTCAGCATTGAAAGCACACAGAATGGCCATGGATGAATAAGCCTCAGGATGGGAGATCACATTGCATTGTGCTATACTGTAATAAACCTTCACAATCTCCAATTCTGAGTCGAGGCAGGAGGCAATTTACAAAAACATACGTCTTGTTACTTTTTTTGGAGCTGATCCACAGCTACTTAACCGGACTGCTTTCAGATAGTTTAATGCTTGTGCTGTTCCTGGAGATAATGCTCTTAAACTAGCAAACTGTTTAGGAGCTGAATAGTTTGGAAGCAATCATGCACTAACATTATGAATCTAAAGGGCAAGTCGTGTATTTGGAAGCCCACCGTTTTAATTTGACTGTATTGACTATGTGCTTTGTGTCTTCAAAATCTCTCTCAGGGAACAAGTAAGAAATAGATGAGGCTCACAATGGAAGTGATGTAAATTGTTTTAGATTGCTTCGCTCTCAATGCTGGCCACTAAATGCAATTACCAGGATTCAATATTTTTCTTCTCAAAGTCCTGAGGAAAAGATAAAACCATTACATTTGGGGGATTGATGCATTCTCTAGAAAGCAGCAATGCATTTTTTACTATGCGTTTTATTTTCACATGTAGAGGCCAAAATATCTCATAGAAACTTCTTAAAACATTGAAAATGTTCAGTGTTACAGTTTTTTAATATCTTCTCCATTTAAAAGAAGTAGTCATTTATTCCCCCTCATGTCTTTTGAAGCTCTTTGCCAATAATCCTCCCGTGTAACACAAAAGTTATTCATAACAGAATTTCTAAGTTACTTATAATCAGCCTATACTGCAAATGTAATAACACATTCTGTTATCGTCTCATCTCATTTAATGTTTCAAGTAAGAATGAAACGACATGCAAATGAGATCTTTACGTTTTTTTGGGTGAACTACTGCTTTTAAAGAGTCATTTTTGATTTCTCTGATATACTATGTGGATTTTAAGATGTTTAAAGGCCAAACAATTGGACAACAGCTTTAAAACCATGTCAGTGGGCAGTAGATTATTTGTCAATTCCTGCTCTCTCCTCATCTCCATCACCCTTTCTCCTTATCTTGCCCTGTCTCTTCCCCTCCTAAAGCTGAGCTTTCACTGATGGTCTTTTCATTTTCGTCTGTGTCAGTGAAGAAAGTATAGGGTCAACTGATATTTATGTTTTGTGAATCATTTTCTCAGATAAGGGATTTTACTGAAGGCTACCAGAAAATCTAGGTAACTAGTTTAAATTAATTTACAATATGTTCACATTCATTATTAATCTTATGCCTAATATGATGAAAACGGCTTTGTTAATGTTTCTTGCCCTCTCACATTGAGAGTTACTATACATTACATGAACCACGTAAATTAGGCCTATTTTCAATTCAAAATGGCGAAATTAGACAAAAGTTTATTAGTTTGCCTGATTATTTTTGTCGTTCGTTTAACATTTCTATCCTAAAACAGCTGTCAAATATGAAAGGTTTAGTTTAGCTACAGTACTTACATGTTATCTCGCACTTTATTACCGTTAACTGAAACGTCGCGATGGAATTCGCACTCAGCAGTTTCTGTGAACATAAAGCCCGCCTACTTCGATTTGATTGGTCATCTCCATAGACTGACCAAATCATCTAGACCAATGAGGCAGCTCAGATGAGAAGATCTTAGTGCAGCGCTAAAGTAGAGTTATTACTATATTAGGCAATTATTTCACAACCTTTATTATATACACCCCGGAAAAATACAGAGGCTCCGGCCGGTGACCTCATAGCTGGCTACGGCCACGGACTGTGCACTTCGAATTGAAACTTTTTTTTTTTGGTCTTAAAAGCACAACGCTTTAAAAAATATGACTCTTTAACAAATTTAAAAACTTTTAAAAATGACTCTCTGTGGTTGTAGCAGCAGGAGATATTTTAGAAAAGCTTTTACCATGCAAACTGTCTTAACAGTGAAAGCACAGCACGCTGCCATCATACTAATTCAGGGTCTGATGCTAAAAAGAGCAAAAATATATGTAAGAAAAACATCTAGATAAACTAATCAACCACGATAATCGACTGGCCATCCTAACAAGGTACTTGTTGTACTCCAGCAGCTGCAGGACTCTGGCTGGGCCTGAGGGCCAAAACCCCGTACTGGAATAAAGGAAGGAAGAAAAGAAAAACATCAGTCCTGAACAAGCCTCCCCTGCCTCCTTCCCCATGGCTTGACCTCCATGCTTGCTGTGCTGAAGATCTTTCCCTGGAGGTAAGCCTAAAATACCCAGGCCTCTCGCTGGAGCTTGACAAATCGACTCATTTGCTGAGTAGGTGATCTTAAAGCAATAGTTCATCGGGAAAAAAACGACATTCTGTCATCATTTACTCACCCCTCTGTCATTCCAAACTGGTATGATTGTCTTTCCTCTGAGTTTTGAGTGCTACGGTTGCTACTTTATGGTACTTTTATGGTGCTGTTTTTTTGTCCTTATTGAAGCTTGACAGCATCTATAACAGTTTGTTGTGTGGAAAACAAGAGCAACGCCAGCATCTGCTGTGGTGTTCCACAAAGTCGTACGGGTTTGGAATGATTGGTAATTTATCCTTTAAGAACATTTTAGGCAAGGCAAGTTTATTTATATAGCACATTTCATACACAATGGTAATTAAAAGTGCTGCACATAAAAAGGAAACAGAGACATAGGAATTCAAATGGAATGCATACAAAATAAAAATAACAATAAAAGCAGAGAGAATACCCCTATCTGGATGGAAGAGTCAGAGAGTTTCACAGCTTCTTGTTTTACTTTAAAATTTTAGCTAAATTAAATTTACTGTCTTGTTATAACTTATTAGACAACATATTAGGCTCTATAACTTAGAGGATTGCTGTGTTTCATCACAGTGCAGAAAGCTTCTGTCTGCCATGAATTTTTAGAGACATCTCCCTGAAGGAATTGTTCTGAGACGCCCAACTGATGAGGTGCCTGCATTAAAATAATGTTGCGGATGAAAAAAAACCCTGCCATACCGCACCGGCCTGTTAACATGCAAATCACATCTCATTTTCACAGAAAGGCAAAGCGAGTGAGTCAGTGTGAAACTGTGTACAATCTGAATGCCAAGCATTATACTAAGAGAGAGCAAAGCATAGAAACAACACATAGTAAACGATGGTGTCATGTTGAAGAACACTCAACAACATTTCTATTTTGGGTCGTAAGCCACTGCAAATGCAATTTAATGAGCTCTGAATGTATAGGAATGACCTTCATATTGATTTTTTTAGCTGTGCAGCGCGTGGTGTTCTTTCTAAATGAAGCAGTACTGTAACAGTGATACATGGTAATAGTTTTATAAAATAAAAAGTGATCATGTTTGAAGGCATATCTCATGATGTTGGTTTATAGAAAAGCCATTATTTGTACAAGAACTTTTGTTTTGCGAAATTATTGGATCACAATTAAGCATAAGCTCCCATTCTCATTGTGAGCAAATGTGCTGCTTTTAATTTTTAAAACCATTTAAACCATTTTCTTTGTCAGAGTAATACGAATCTAATGAGAATCACCATTAAAAAATAATAATAAAATGTCTGAATGCATCGCGGGAATGAGAATTTAGGGAGGAATGTGCTTCATTGGAATAAAAAAATATCACAAAACACAATATCGTCATTTTTGAGGGGGCGAAATATGACTGTTTGTGGCATTTTTATGGCTTCAGTAGGGTGCTAAAAGTTTATAAAACTAATTTTGTCAGTGTTATATTGTGTCTTTTATCATTGTTTGTGACATGTAATGTTGGTTTATTAGTTTCTATAGCCAGTGACTGCCTTAGGCCACTATGAAAGCAGATTCCAGCTTCATCGAATCCATAAAAACATAATGGAATATTTTTAAAATGTTCTACATTATAAACTATTGAGCATCCTTCTGCATTTATATCTCTGCCACATCTTTGATAGATGACAATGAGAGCGATTTCATTAGCCACACGTTAAACTGATTGTCTTTTCTCTGTCCGTGTGAAGGAAGCTGCAGATGCCACCACGCACGTGGAACGACCTGTAGACCTCATAGAGATGTTTATTAGGGAACACTCGTTCTTGCCACACCAATGAATTATTCATAAAGGCGCTCTCTGAAGGCCTTGTGTATTCTGCCTGGACTTTCTAAGCTGGAATCGATCCGTGGTGGAAATTCTGAGCGATCCGCGACATCTCCTTCAGCTCGGAGGTTTTAAATGGGCATGTAACTCATTTTGACAGATGGCACTCAGAGGTACTCACCATCTCTGCTTTGGAGACACATATCCTCTCCGTTATAAGCCTCAGATTGCTATTTCCTCTTAAGTGCACTCCATGTGAGGACAAGGTTCGTCACTGAAACGACTTTTTGTCCATTTTTGATATATAATGGGGAATTGAGATCTAAGGGCTCGCCAATATATCTTTCTTATAGAGGTGTCTTATGGCACAGGCCACTTAAGGAGGGATGTTCCAGCGTTTTAGGATTCAAGCGCTCTCAGAGAAAGAACACACTGATTAAAGTGCTGGAAAAATATCCGGCTTGTCCTTGCGTTTGGAATGCCGACGAAAGTGGTGAAAACAGCCAGACAGAGCTGTAATCCCTCCATATTTACCCCGCTGAGTGGTTTCAGACAGTGCAAATTATGCGATTGTTCTGATTAAATGTGCTCCGCTGGTTGTGATTTTAATTTGAGCTCCGAGTGATTCCTCTTTGAAATAATCTTCAGGATGTTCTAGTGCACAAGCAGCATTTTAAAGCTAAACGACAATAGCGATGTGGTCAGCTACCGCTGTGTGATTCTTTTTGCTATATGAATTATTAAGACTTTTATAAAGTAGCACTGGAATAATTCAGTAGGAAATGCCTCCAGTGATTTATTTTTCCTGTTCAAATAAGTATCACTGTGTTTCAGAAAATGTGTTGGGTCACAAAACTTCACAATCTCACAAACAATACATATGAGTCGTATTTCACCCCTAAATCAAAGGATATATAGTAGGCTATATTTTTTTAGTGCTGTCAAATCGATTAATTGCGATTAATCGCATCTAACAAAAAAGTTTTGTTTCTGTCAGGACCACTATCGCCAAATATGACTGACAATTAGCATACAGTTAGGATTGGCAAGAACTCCCTGCGCATCCATGCAGCCTAGCATGGATAAGAGCAGGGAGAGCAGCAATAACCCCTCTTAGGTGAACAGAACAGAACCAACATGAATGTATTGCAGATATCATTAATTCAAGATTTTAAAGTACAACATAATTCGAGAATTTATTCTGATTCAAAGGGCACTCAGAAGGGCAAATCCTGACTGTTGAGAGGTGGAGCTGGGGATGGAGGAGGGTAATCAGCTCCTGAGAAACGCGATAGCTGCTGATAATACTGAAGGAGCTCATATATGTACGGTGATAGGCGTCACATTCCTATAGGCAGACGTGGATCAGCTGAGCCTGAGAGTCAGCCGATGCGAGCTTGACTAACGTGACCTGCCAGAACTGATGCTACGCTTAATTTTTATAATATATGTGCGTATACACTCACCTAAAGGATTATTAGGAACACCTGTTCAATTTCTCATTAATGCAATTATCTAATCAACCAATCACATGGCAGTTGCTTCAATGCATTTAGGGGTGTGGTCCTGGTCAAGACAATCTCCTGAACTCCAAACTGAATGTCAGAATGGGAAAGAAAGGTGATTTAAGCAATTTTGAGCGTGGCATGGTTGCTGGTGCCAGACGGGCCGGTCTGAGTATTTCACAATCTGCTCAGTTACTGGGATTTTCACGCACAACCATTTCTAGGGTTTACAAAGAATGGTGTGAAAAGCGAAAAACATCCAGTATGCGGCAGTCCTGTGGGCGAAAATGCCTTGTTGATGCTAGAGGTCAGAGGAGAATGGGCCGACTGATTCAAGCTGATAGAAGAGCAACTTTGACTGAAATATCCACTCGTTACAACCGAGGTATGCAGCAAAGCATTTGTGAAGCCACAACACTTACAACCTTGAGGCGGATGGGCTACAACAGCAGAAGACCCCACCGGGTACCACTCATCTCCACTACAAATAGGAAAAAGAGGCTACAATTTGCAAGAGCTCACCAAAATTGGACAGTTGAAGACTGGAAAAATGTTGCCTGGTCTGATGAGTCTCGATTTCTGTTGAGACATTCAGATGGTAGAGTCAGAATTTGGCGTAAACAGAATGAGAACATGGATCCATCATGCCTTGTTACCACTGTGCAGGCTGGTGGTGGTGGTGTAGTGGTGTGGGGGATGTTTTCTTGGCACACTTTAGGCCCCTTAGTGCCAATTGGGCATCGTTTAAATGCCACGGCCTACCTGAGTATTGTTTCTGACTAGTGTTGTCAAAAATATCGATATTTCGATAAATATCGATACTGAAATATCTGAACGGTACCAATACTAATTTCCCGAAGTATCGATACTAGCCGAGCAGTCACTTTCACTTCTCTCAAAAGGCGCGTTGACAAACACCACACGTGACGCACTCGTCTCATTCGCTCTTCGTTAAATAGCAAAAGTGAAGTGAATGGAAAGATGGCGAGGGCCGCGCCCCCGCGACCGGCTTTGGTTGATTGATAAAGAACACCACGAGCGGGCATGTCGGAGAATAGCGCGGACACGCGTAAAAAACACACCGCGAGCGGGCATGTCGGAGTCGGAGAATAGCGTGGACTCGTGGACACGCACTACACACCGCGAGCGGGCATGTCGGAGAATAGCGCGGATACGAGCTACACACCGCGAGCGGGCATGTAGGAGAATAGCGCGGACACGAGCTACACACCACGAGCGGGCATGTAGGAGAATAGCGTGGACACGCGCTACACACCGCGAGCGGGCATGTAGGAGAATAGCGCGGATACGAGCTACACACCGCGAGCGGGCATGTAGGAGAATAGCGTGGACACGAGCTACACACCGCGAGCGGGCATGTAGGAGAATAGCGCGGACACGAGCTACACACCACGAGCGGGCATGTTGGAGAATAGCGCGGACACGAGCTACACACCACGAGCGGGCATGTCGGAGAATAGCGCGGATACGAGCTACACACCGCGAGCGGGCATGTAGGAGAATAGCGTGGACACGAGCTACACACCGCGAGCGGGCATGTCGGAGAATAGCGCGGACACGAGCTACACACCGCGAGCGGGCATGTCGGAGAATAGCGCGGACACGAGCTACACACCGCGAGCGGGCATGTCGGAGAATAGCGCGGACACGAGCCACACACCGCGAGCGGGCATGTAGGAGAATAGCGTGGACACGCGCTACACACCGCGAGCGGGCATGTCGGAGAATAGCGCGGACACGAGCTACACACCGCGAGCGGGCATGTCGGAGAATAGTGCGGACACGCGAGCGGGCTGCGGGCACCCAACAGATTGTTTGACTATCAATAATCCCTCACATCACTCATTTTTTAAAATTATTGTATAGGTGAAAACAGACTTAAGGAACAGGCTCCAGGGGTATAGGCTACTATTTAGCAGCATATGCTCAGCATCAGGGGTGTTTGTTGTTTGGACAGATCTGCCCCCACTGCTAAAAAAAAATCCTCAAGGAAACACTGTAACTCTTCTCATTTGAACTTTTCTGAAACATTAACCAAGATGGCCTAGTATTGTTGTTGATAAGAGTCTGTGTTGTCTCGTTTTAATTCTTAAAGTTAACATAATCTGACTGAGGAATCTTAGACAAGTAAATATTTTAACTGTGGTCAAATGTAAATTAACTGGTGCCTATTTAACTTTATTCAAAAATTATTATTTAATTCTGCAATTTTCCTTCATTAGCTATTATCATCAATTTGATTACACAGATACTAATTAAACTAAACAGCTAGACAATGGCATCTCTAAATTCAATAATGACATGCCTTTAACTGAAAATTAAATGTTTAATCTTATTATTATACATTACTGACTCTCTATCCTCCAATATGATACTGTTAAGTGCTTTTTTGTTACAGTATATTTTAATCTTTGATAACAGTAGGTAATAAAAATACATCATGTTAGCTCTGGTCCAATTAAAAAATATAAACAAATAGAACTCAGGACATTTTTGTTCATGCAAAATATACCTCATTGTCATGTTCTAGACTTGTTACATTTAGCTTTAAATTAAAAAAATACCCCCTTTATATTGTGGCAGTTTTTTCTCCGTGGTATCGAAAATGGTATCGAATATCGATATTTTTCAAGGTATCGTATCGAAGTTAGAAATTCTAGTATCGTGACAACACTATTTCTGACCATGTCCATCCCTTTATGGCCACCATGTACCCATCCTCTGATGGCTACTTCCAGCAGGATAATGCACCATGTCACAAAGCTCGAATCATTTCAAATTGGTTTCTTGAGCATGACAATGAGTTCACTGTACTAAAATGGCCCCCACAGTCACCAGATCTCTACATTTCTACATTTCTAGAAATATATGCATACATAAGTGGGTGCACATACACACATATATATACACTCACCGGCCACTTTATTAGGTACCCCATGCTAGTAACGGGTTGGACCCCCTTTTGCCTTCAGAACTGCCTCAATTCTTCGTGGCATAGATTCAACAAGGTGCTGGAAGCATTCCTCAGGGAGTTTGGTCCATATTGACATGATGGCATCACACAGTTGCCGCAGATTTGTCGGCTGCACATCCATGATGCGAATCTCCCGTTCCACCACATCCCAAAGATGCTCTATTGGGTTGAGATCTGGTGACTGTGGAGGCCATTTTAGTACAGTGAACTCATTGTCATGTTCAAGAAACCAATTTGAAATGATTAGAGCTTTGTGACATGGTGGAAGTAGCCATCAGAGGATGGGTACATGGTGGCCATAAAGGGATGGACATGGTCAGAAACAATGCTCAGGTAGGCCGTGGCATTTAAACGATGCCCAATTGGCACTAAGGGGCCTAAAGTGTGCCAGGAAAACATCCCCCACACCATTACACCACCACCACCAGCCTGCACAGTGGTAACAAGGCATGATGGTTCCATGTTCTCATTCTGTTTACGCCAAATTCTGACTCTAACATCTGAATGTCTCAACAGAAATCGAGACTCATCAGACCAGGCAACATTTTTCCAGTCTTCAACTGTTCAATTTTGGTGAGCTCTTGCAAATTGTAGCCTCTTTTTCCTATTTGTAGTGGAGATGAGTGGTACCCGGTGGAGTCTTCTGCTGTTGTAGCCCATCCGCCTCAAGGTTGTGCGTGTTGTGGCTTCACAAATGCTTTGCTGCATACCTCGGTTGTAACGAGTGGTTATTTCAGTCACTGTTGCCCTTCTATCAGCTCGAACCAGTCTGGCCATTCTCCTCTGACCTCTGGCATCAACAAGGCATTTCCGCCCACAGAACTGCCGCTCACTGGATGTTTTTTCTTTTTCGGACCATTCTCTGTAAACCCTAGAGATGGTTGTGCGTGAAAATCCCAGTAGATTAGCAGTTTCTGAAATACTCAGACCAGCCCTTCTGGCACCAACAATCATGCCACGTTCAAAGTCACTCAAATCACCTTTCTTCCCCATACTGATGCTCGGTTTGAACTGCAGGAGATTGTCTTGACCATGTCTACATGCCTAAATGCACTGAGTTGCCGCCATGTGATTGGCTGCTTAGAAATTAAGTGTTAACGAGCAGTTGGACAGGTGTACCTAATAAAGTGGCCGGTGAGTGTATATATATATATATATATATATATAAAATAAATATATTATATAAACAAAAACTTTTATATTAGATGCGATTAATCGCAATTAATTGATTTGACAGCACTAAGATTTTTATGATGAAATTGTATCATGATTATCATATTTACATTTAGTCATTTTTAGCAGACTCCAACGCCATTGTTATTCTGATCATAATTCAATCATTATGCTGAACTTTGGAGATGCAATTCACTGTGGTTCGACATGCATCTTACATCTTCATAAACAAAGATATCATTATAACTTGTTGGTTTAATAACATTACCACCAGCCCTGACCATAGAGTTTGTTTGCATGCTGTATTCTTATTGCACAATGAAGCATTCAAGCAGACCGTGTACAGCAAACCAGAAATTGCAGTACATGTTCATAGACCATCCCAAACAGGCTGATATATTGTTTGACAATAACTCTCACTGAATTATTTAGTAGGCCTCAGAGCAACTTGAAATGCCACATTTGCATTTGTATTCAGACGTGGTTATTGCTTTCCGGTTGGTTAATATGTTCTGAAATCCACATGTTAGCAGAGGAGTGACAAAATAAAAATGTAGCACTTTTAGGGTTTTTAGAAAAAGCTTTTTCCACACAATATCAAAAAGCATTGCAAGCTTTTTAATTCTCCTTAACTTTGCGTGTCCAGATGCCGTAATTTGTCAAAACAAATTTGCTGTGAAGAGTTTTGATTAAATTTCTGCACATCTAAGTGTGCTTTCATGCAAGACAAAGTTCCTTTGCACTGCATGAACCAACCAGTGATTCATTTCAAATGCATCTTCATTTATCTGTAATGAATTATTCTTTACTTACCGCATGTGCCACTTTCATTGCAAACAACATTTTTCATTGAAGGTCAATAACATTTAGCTTTTGCTAATGCAACTTGTTTTAATGACATCTTCTTCACGTTTGCTCTCACAGGGCTGTTTTTCTGACCTTAGCACATGGATTTCAAGACTTCAAATGAAGAGGTAGGTATTGCTTTATATGCCACTTTTTTCAAAACATTTAGTTATTTCAGATGAAGTAGAAAATATGCTCATACATCTTGTAACAGATCTATTTCAGCGTTATTTGTTGAACGAAACTCTATCCAAATAAATGTTTGCTGAAGTCGTTGAGGCAGGCAGGAGCACAACGATCAAATAAATGGATTTGTTGACTTTCCACTGGGGAATAAAGATGTTAGATGTGCTTTAATTCCCCTGTCTGCAGACTATAGGAAACAGTTATTTAACAGACTACAGATTTACAGTTCCATTCTCTGAAATGTAACATTTTCAAGATTGTAAGGAGGATTATGAGCTGGGTAACACTTTATTTCGATGGTCCACTTTAGACATTCTACTAACTATAAGTAACTTTGCAACTACATTAGAGTATCAGTAGACTGTCTGCGTAATATCTGATAACACTTTACTTTGATGAACAGACATTCTACTGACTAGAAGTAACTTTGCAACTACATGTCAACTTATTCTACTAACCCGAACCCTAAACTAACAGTCTTCTGCAGTCTACTAATACTCTAATGAGAGTTACTTAACATGTAGTTGCAAAGTTAGTTATAGTTTGTAGTAGTGGACCATTGAAATAAAGTGTAACCAAGCAGTTACAGAAAGTAAAAAGCCCCACAAAAATAATCTAGCTATATACAACATTATTTGAACTCTTTGAGATTATCATAAGTTTCATTTGCCATCATTATACTAAATCCTTTGATATATTTTTTCAGATATTTTGAGATATTTCCTCACTTCTGTCCTGAAATGATGAAACAATGTAATAATGGTGTTCAATTATTTGTTTATTATTATAATTATTATTTATTAACAGTTTATCAAGTGAAAGAAATTAAATTATGTCCTATTTGTTTTATTAGGCACTGTGCTGTATAGTAATCAATTATATACAAATTGTGGTTACACTTTATTTGGTAACTTTTTATTTTACAGTGTCCTTGTTACACGTTACTATAGTAATTGCTATAAATTATGCATAATTACATGAAACTAACCCCACAACAAAACTAATCCTAACCCTATTGTAAATACACGTAGTTATTACTCAGTACTTAAATGTATAATTACACTGTAACAAGGACACCTTAAAATTACAATTAGGGTTACACTTTATTTTAAGGTGTCCTTGTTACAGTGTAATTGCTGAGTAATAATAATTAACTACATATACTTACTATAGAGTTAGGGTTAGGACTGAGTTTGGTTTAGGGTAAGTTGCATGTAATTATGCATAATTTATAGTTAATACTATAGTAACTACATGTAATGTGTAACAAGATCACTGTAAAGTGTTACCCATATTTTCTACTTAGTAAAACTAATAACTGATTTCGAGGGAGGACCTCTTGTTACTCTTGTTTCTAGAAATGCAACAAGCAATCTTGCGTCTCAGTTATGGATTATAGTGAAAATGACCTCCGATAACTTCAGTATTAATATTACTTGTTGCTAGGCAGATTATTTCATACATTTGTAATTGACAATTTCTTCTTAACAGAAGCTTTAATATCATTTACAGGCAAGATTATAAAACAATGTCAAGTCAAATCAAATCAATATTTCATTTCCATGTATTTATTTAGTGGTCTTAATCACCCTGTTGGGATTTAATTTGTGATAATGACCGACTGCCTGTACTTTATATCCTATATATCAATGTCTATCAGCTAATGAGAAATATTGATCATCCACTAATCTGGATGTTCTTCTCAGTATGTTAAAATTCATGACATTTGATGTGTTCTGCATTATAGTGATGCAGTTTGGGGTGGGATACAGGACTACTATGAATGCAGAGAGCACAAATTGAATAGCTTTCGGGCTCCGAAATGGGGACACGGCAGAGCGCTTATGTGTGGAAGATTAATGAGCGCTCAGAGGAAGATAAGTCTTGTGTATATAGACTGAGGTGTTTCTATCTATTTACAAACACTGCTGCGCTTTTTTAAACGCGATGAACAATACAAGATTCAACACTTTGTGGTCAGAAAAAATTGGCTGAAATTTTTAGAGCTGCTTTATTAATCAATAAAAGACCGTGATCTCGATTCTAACACCTGTGTCTATTAAACATTTGACAAAATCACAGCAGAACATTCAGATTTGCTTTTGCGCTGCCACTGATCCAGAGAGAGCAGTTATCATGTATTGATATGAAACAGCTTTTAAAACAGTCCTTTCAACCGCAGTATCGCTATTTCTGTGTTACAAATATTCATATTATCACAGAAATACTGGGTTAAATGTTTATAGTTCGGATATAAACGCTGATGTCTACGGTAGTGATCAAAATACATTAAATCACCTTTATAAAGTAACATGGATGCATTTATTTGTCATTGAAACATTCATTCAAGAGGTTCATTCAGAAACGCTGGTTCATCCTGTAATGAAATAATGAAATATTTATGAGTGGGATATTTAATCATTCATTTAAGAGATTCATTCAGAAACGCTGATTCATCCAGTAATGAAGAAATTAAGTATTTATGAGTGAGTCATTGAATCATTAATTCAAGCGATTCATTCAGAAACGCTGATTCATCCTGTAATGAAATAATGGCCCAGATTTAGTCTGCATTTCGTGACGTAACGCCGCTTTGACTATCGGGAAAAGTCTGCTGCGGAGCTCACATCAGTGCGGGCTCGGCACAAATCCACCGCTAAGCATCGCGAGCATCCTTCTGAAACCTAAAATAACAATTGGGACACCCTACGGTCTCATGGACTTAACGGACACGCCGCTGTAAGTCCACAAGACCGAAAGAGCATGTGAAGTGTGCCATTTGGGACAGGGCCAATGAAACAAGTGAAGTCTTTATGAGTGAGTCATTGAATCATTCATTTTAAAATAATTCATTTAGATGAATTAAACATTTCTAAAAGACTGCAGCCAAAAAAAAAAAAGACCCTCTAGTAAATTACATGTTATTTTGTTTAGTTTTTCTGTTCAGAATTGTGGTAGAACCGTGATCTCTATTTGAAAACAAAAAAACGTGATTCTCAATTGATCCAGAATCATGCAGCTCTAGTGATGATCCACATTTATTAACACAGGTTTAGGAATTAGGTACAGTTGTAGAGCATGTGGGAGTTTTAACTTTGCTAAAGCATCAATATGAGAATCATATTGGAAGTGTTTCTTGTTAACTGTGTGAATGAATGCATCTCTGTAGCAATCTTACTAGACTAACTATTTTTACCTCTGGAATGGCCAGAGTCAATGTCTGAGCATGGTTTGACTGCAAATCTCAAGGGTACACTAAAAATGGCTGACACTTGATCGCCGTGGCAACAGAACCAAGCATGTGTCCTAGCAACTGAAGTTATAGAATAAATTTTATTCTGGTATAAAGTGTTTGACCTGACTTTGCAAGAAATCGCAATGATGTGGATGCCAGACTCAACAGAAAATTCAGGTCTCTTTCATTTTTTATGAGTAACTGCTTACCAATCAATTTGGTCATCATAGGAACGAGTCTTACAACACAACTAGGCCCTGAGGAAGGTGTTTTTTTTTGTTTTGTTTTTACAGTGCTGACAAGTGGAAAGGCCAAAATATACAGATAAAAAACATTTTTAAGCAGGTGTTGGTACTACGCTTCGTATTTCATTATATGCATTGACAAAAATTCCTTACTTATTCACTTATATGCTGTGGTTTCATTCTGAATTTATGTTGATTAGATAATATTCTATAGGATAAAATATATGTACATGCCTCTAACAGACCAAGTAGCATACTAAGGCTACGTTCACGATCACGAAATCCGGTCACCAGCACCACATATGAATGTAGCCCGAAACATATTGCTTTTCACACTAAATCTGATCGGATTTCATTGGATATGCACAAAAATCAGATTTGGACTGACAGTCTGAACGAGGCTTAACTAACTAATAATGTGATTTGAATTATTCAGTTTATCAGGTATGACAGGATGTTAAAAATTATAGCAGTGAAACTATTATTGGCCACCATGAAGTAGATGTACAAAAGGCATTTAAGATAATGATGTTACACTAATAATTGAGTTTGTGGGTGTCCCTGCAGCTCTGGGTGCTTTGATTTCTCTGGGGTTGATTTTCTTTAATGAAAACTAACAGGTTTTTAATATGAAACATGATGTGTGAAGAAAACAAAAGAAAAAACAAGGTAAATAACACTTGTGAGCAGAATATTTGTATGCGTCATTTTTAATCAAGCTGTAATTTTGTCAGAATTATGCAGAAAGTGTGAAAATATTTTTTAATTGTGTGTATTTATAGGATGACTAGAAAACTAGCTATGAAACAAGACAACTTTCGGCCGTTTAATTATGACAAAAATGCTGAAAATGTAATTTTCACTATTCCCCTGTTCATGTACTACTGTATATATGCAGTGTTGGACATTTTAGTGGACAACTTAACAAGTGACAGTGTGAAAAGAGATAATTGCTAACAACATTTTACTTTGAGCCTTTATGTGTTTTCATAAATAATTTTAACCATTTTAATATTTGCAGATTCCTTATTACATATGAAATTGGTTGTTTGTCATGTGTTTTAATGCATTATACTTTATAAATGTGTAAAAATAATAGATAAGTACCTATGTATTACGTATTATAACTGTGGTAACAACTATTCATGAGATAATACAATGCATTACAAGGTGCATTACAAGGCATTACGAATGCATTATAAATACTTTTATAATGAATGTATAAAAAGGCTTTAGGTAAAGTGTTACCATAATTTTAACATTTGTAGAATATCTGCGGAAGTGTTACTAGTATCTGAATTTGCAGTGTTTTTGAATATCAAATTTGTCAATACAATGTAAAGTATTTGCTCTGGTTCTTGTTTTAAATGTTTTTTTACCCGTTGTCGTGCTTGTTGTCGTTGTACAAGCAGAATGTGGTGGTTGGTCAGTGCGGAATTTGTCCCGCCCCTCCTCCACTGTGATTGGACGGCTGGGTAAAAGGGAATACTTGAGGAACCATCCATAAATGAAGTGTTATTTAAAAACTGTTAAAGTGGTGCCATTTAAGCTTGCTCTATCTGTTTTACTTTAAATGATTACTGTAGGGCAAGAACGTTTCATTGCTCAAAATTGCATCTTTCAAGGGAGTTTGGTGTTAAAGGGCTTACATTGCCTTATACTGTAGCTGCAGGACTCTTATGTAGTTTTTCTTAAGCATTTATCTACAGAAGTAAAGGCCGTGTGTTAAATGCAGAATAAATATGGACCCGATAAGCTGCATTTAAGCCTCTGACAGGCAGTCTGTCAAGTTACAATGTATTCAAGAGCATCTGGACTTCATTATCCATTTTTTGGAGACATTTTGTCACATATTCAAAAAGCTTCATCAGTCATTATGACATTGTGTGGTGTGAAGATGTTTAATCCTCCATCAGATAACTGATGAAGCCACTTGGATGAGAGGCAAAACATCTTCAACAAATGAATAACCAAGTCCAGATGGTCTAGCAATGATTTCTCTCCCTGATATTCAGCAGTGACTCTGAGTTTTCAGTTGTATCTCTGGCAAAAAGTGACTCTGCAAACAGCAGCCCTCGCTGTATTTATCATGCGATCAATTTCATGGCTAATTAACTTCATGTTTTCATGTGAGGATTACAGATGTTTGTGTGACTTTGGCTGTTTCAGACAAAGACTGGGATTTATTTGCTTCAAGATGGTAGCGAGGAGCCTTTCAATATCCGTCTGCACCTGGCCAAAGATATTCTCACCATTCAAGAGCAAGACGTCATCTGTGTGTCTGGAGAACCGTTCTACTCAAGTGTGAGTTCAACTATCCACACTAAACCAGATTGATCCAGTCCTGGAAAATACAAGATATGATAAAAGCTGTGACGCGAAACAGCTGTTCAACACATTCTGTTGTCGTTCACATGTCAGGGACTGTATCTTCTACACTGTAAGAAAGTGTTTAGTTAGATACCCTCAAAATGTTCTTAATGTGATAACACAACCGTAACTGGTTTTTATTCGAGTCAAAAATATTTAAATTGGAATTTAAATGGGCTAAATCACCTGACTACTACTGTACATATAAGCAAGTTTTTAGATTATGACTACGTAAAAATTCCACATAAAAACGGTCTTTCGTTAACATTTTATTTATTACTGTAAGCAAATTCATGAATACAAATGTATATTATTACATATTATTAAAAATAAAATATAATAATATATATTTATATAAATATAATATTTTTTTTAGATTATGAAGAATATATAATATGTTTATGTGTACATATGTATAAATAT